CGTCCGACATGACGAGTCCATTTTTTTCAAATGTTTCGAAATACACCGTCAAAATGAAAGAAGCTATCATTGGAAGATAAATTGAATACGTCATAAATGTCGAGCAATTATTCAGAGATTAAAGTTACAAACGAACAATGCTATCTTCAACGTGATCTCATTTTATTGGGTATTATACGTAGGCAATAATAGAAAATCAATTCTAGTTCACTGACGACAAATGTATAGAAAAGTTTTCGATTTGTTTCAATATAAATTTATTGTTCATGCAATCTTTTGAATGAATGTAAGAAATTCTTCGAGAAATGCTTTCAAATTGATGTTTCGATGTGGGATGTGAAGTTATTTTTAACATCATGTTCTTGAACTCGTTTCAGAATATAAACACAGCATACTATCAATTAGGAAAGCTTCCATTGCGAATAATAATGATGAAAATAAAATGTGTATTGGCATTTGGTTTTCTGCAAATATGAATGTAACGACTGAATTCTCCAGCAGGTACCTGCTTTATATGAAAAGTTGAAATTAATTTCATTTGGTAATGATGACTCCCGATAGATCGGTTTCGGAGTACTAGCTCCGTGTCAGTACCGGGAGGGTCATTCCAGGCGGAGAAGGTATGCAGTCGGAGACTGAACAAAATGAAAACTTTTATTTCTGTTCGAGCTTTCTAGTACACTGAGAGATAGTAAACAATTGCCGAACCAGTGAAAAAAGTACTTACCAAAGTGAGGTTATACATAAGAAGATAACATGAGAAATAATGTTTTCGTAAATAAAGTTTAAACACTTGATAAACAACAGTATGTAGTGGAAACGTGGAATGAGTGGAATATAATCATTTTCAAAATACACCATTATTGAATTGTCAACTGTCTTGTCGAAAATAAAGGGTGATTTTTTAAGAGGTATAGGATTTGATTTTCATAACAACATAAAAAATTTGAAAAAATTGATGAAATCTTTGTTGGAATCGATAGAACGATCAATATAATTTATTGTTTGAAGATGATTTCATGCAAATGTCGTCCGCGGCTCCACTTCAGATGGCCCATGCGCACGGTCCAATTTTGGCACACTCTCTCTAACATATCGCCCGGTATTTTACGTATAAATGCTTCAATATTGGCTTTCAGAGCGTCAGTCGTTGCTGGTTTATCTCTGAAGACATGAGCCTTAACATGACCCCACAAGAAATAATCCAAAGGCGTTAAATCACACGATCTAGGCGGCCAATTGACGGGCCCTAAACGTGAGATAAACTGTTCACCGAAGGCGGCTCTTGATTGGTCCATTGTTAGGCGTGCCGTGTGGCATGTGGCACCGTCTTGTTGAAACCACATGACCATTTTGGGCAACAAAAAGTCGTCAATCATCACACGGTAGCGCTCGCCATTCACAGTAACGTTCCTGCCATTGTCGTCTTTGAAGAAGTACGGCCCGATGATGCCACCGATCCATAATCCACACCAAACAGTGACTTTTTCGGGATGCATCAGGTGCTCTTGCAATGCTTGTAACTGGTATTCACTCCAGATGCGGCAATTTTGCTCGTTAATGTGTCTATTCAACCAGAATGGAGCCTCGTCGCTGAACACAATGTTTTAATAAAAATGTGGAGCGTCCTTCAACTTTTCCAGCGCCCATTTACCGAATTTTAGACGTTGTGGAAGGTCGTGTGGCTTCAATTCTTGCACCAGCTGTATCTGAGAAGGTTTTACACCTAAATCCTTCGCAAACATTTTTCACGTAGTGGAGTAACAGAGGCCCAATTGCTGCGAACGGCGCGGCGACGAATCGACATTTCACGGTCATCACGAACACTGGCGGATACAGCCGCGAAATTTTCTTCGGTCTTCACGCTACGTATGTGTGTTGGTGGTTTAATGTCCAATAATGTAAACTGGGTTCGAAATTTAGTCACAAGCTTCCGAATAGCTCCCTCAGTAGGCCGACGAAACTGCCCATAAACTGGAAGAATTGCGCAATGCTCTTTCTCCACCGAGCAAGAATTTTGATAATAAAATTCAATAATTTGCAAGCGTTGGTCATACGTAAGTCGATTCATGGTTAAATTATAGATTAAACTGAATAAGTTTGACAATGACTCAAGACACGATTCACACATGATCTATCAAAAACAGTGTTGCCAAAAAGATACCAACAAAAAATCACTCATTATAATATTGAAAACTATGTCAGAGGCATATAATTCAAAATGAATGGATGCGTCTCTCAAAATGACTACACGTATCAATAGAGTTGTAATGAACCTTGAAAATTTTTTTTGAAAATTTTTATGTAACTGATTAGTTGTCATGTCATGATCTAAAAGATTAAAGATAATCATGGAAAACATGTACTATTGTCATATTACCTCATTGAAATAGTTGGAAAATATAACGGTGGAAAGTGGAAAAACAAATGTTATATCACAATCAGTTAGTGTTATGTGAATTGCTTTGAGTTATATATAAACAAATAATATATTTTCCCTATAATAATTAAACGAAGCGTTTCCGGACATTTACTTATTTGGACAATTCATATTAGAATATTGTGAGGAATCACCTCCTGAAGTTTGTCAAAGTACTTTTGAATCATCCCGTATAAACAAATAATATATTTTCCCTATAATAATTACTACGTAAACTATTTATATAACTTAGGATGCCTGGGATGAATAGGAATTATATTATATAACTTTTTCAGTAGTAGGATCAGATCTGCCCTCGAAAGTTAAATAGCCAACAAATAAATCGCTCTTGTAGTAATCCTAAAATCCTTTCCGAGTGGAGCAATCTCTTCTACCAAAATCTAAGCTCTAGAATCTTCCCGGTACAATCAGCTAATTGAATCTTTCCAGTAATACGATTTCTCGCTGGTAAAATTGCCCAATCAACTATGTCAATACGACGCTGGTTAAGCTATTCGTACTCTACTATTTGCTTTGCTACGACTTGTAATGGATACCTTCTGCGTCGAGTTGTAGCTATATTCTCCCTGAACTACTCTTATTGAATTATAAATTAGTTGACTTTGAGTCGGAGGCGAAGTTTGGTTAACGTGCTTTGAGGCATGCGTTCAATGACGGTGGTCCCAGAATTATCTACCCGGCCTGGCCCAAAGAGAGCGGTTGTTGTTTGATAAATATAACTATATCAGAAAGTATACAATCTTTGAAGCTATGTCTCATGTTTGAAGACGATGCGTTGTTTAGTATTTATTTGACAGCTATCAATAGGGAGCGTTTTTGGTGAATTTGTCAAAATGGAGAAAATTGGTCATCGTTATGTGGTACAATATTTTTATTATGAAGGCCTCAACCCAAATAATACAATAGCTGGATTTGATTCTACTCTAGTTGAGTCTGCTCCTTCGTTCACAACAGTAAAATATTGGATAGCAGAGTTGGAACGAGGCCATACGAGCTGCCAAAACGAGCATCGACCAAATGAGTTGACAACTCCAGAAACGGTGAAGGAAATCAACAAAGCGGTAACGAATGAACATAGAGGTGTGTGCAAGATGTCTGCCGCGTTTGCTCACACTCGAGCAAAAACAGTGTCGCGAAGGTGTTTCAGTTGAGTGTTCAGCGAATTTTCACAGTAACAAAGAATGATTCTTGCTTCGTTTCATAACGATGGATGAAACATGGGTCCATCACTTTACACCCGTGACAAAAGAACAATCAAAACTGGGGACTCAAAGGGGAGAACGGGCTCAAAAGAAGTCAAAGACGTTTCATCCACAGGCAAGGTCATGACACCGGTTTTTTGGGGTTTGTAGAAAGCCTTTGACTGCGGCAATCACGAGGACTGCTCCAAAAGCTTCAGTGTTATGGATTCAGAGATGTAAGCTATAATTGGTTCGAGTCATACCTCTCTGACAGAAAGAAACTTGTGAGTGGCGTTCCACAAGGTTCAGCCCTTGGGCCTATATTATTCCTATTATATATAAATGACTTAGCTAGTATTAATATACAGGGCCAGTTCACGATGTTTGCTGATGACACGACAATGATGTGGAAGGAGTCTAATTTTGAGTTACTGAAATTAAAAATGGAGGATGATTTGTAGAAGTTAGAACACTGGTGCGACTCAAACTATCTCTGCTTCAAAGCAATAAAGTTAGCCTTCTAACCTTCGAATACATTCATGAACCTCTTATATTTGATACTACAACCATTGAAAACAAACACTGTACCAAATTTCTTGGCAATGAAATTGATAGTAACCTAAAATTGTATATCCACATCCAAAGTCTCAAAAGGAAACTGGCATCGGGCTGCTTTGCAGTGAGAGTTGTGTGAGGAACTAGGTCTGCTAATGAGTGGGGTGACATATTTTTCTCAAATTGAATCACACCTGCGATATGGTATTGCATTTTGGGGTTATTGCAGCAAACAATTGTTCGATTCTGTTTTCGTCCTGCAGAAAAGAGCAGTCAGATTCATGTCCAGAGCTAAATACACCGACCATTGTAAACCGTTATTTAAAAAACACAGAATTTTGACTTCAACTTCGATTTTTATACTTGAAACTCTATGTTTGGAGTCATAATACTCGTCAAATAACGAGAAAAAACTTACCTCTCCCCATCCCACACTTAGAATTAACGAAAAAATCAATAATGTATCAGAGTAAAAAGATATATAACAATTTGCCACCCTGTTTGAGAGAAATCTCCATACACCATATTTTGTATTGTGATAAAATTTTGCCTTTGTCAACTTATTTTATGTACGAATTTAAATATACATATATTCATTTGGAAGTCCGGACTAGTGAAATTCATCATGAAACATTGTCAATCACCTTCAAACAAACGGTGAAAAGTCGAGGTTTATGATTCTTCGAATTACTCTCTGAACCTCTCTACTGATCTTTTAGAATCATCTTTCTGAAAAGTATCCCCAATTCTATTTCTGATGTTCCAAGTATATTATTATATTCTTGTCTAGGACTAAGTTGACTGGAAGTCAGTTCTATCAATACAGAAAAGCTGAAAAGTTATTTTCCGTCACCTTGACGTTTGACATGACAAATTCTCAGTTGGAAAATACAGTTAGAAAATCAATACTTTAGAATGCAATATGAATCTGATATTCCATTGAGAGAATTCAAATCAGAAGAAGCTGAACAAAGACAACATCGAAGTCTACCGGAGCAGATCCCAATTATCTCTGTGAATTCACCAGCTAGAGGATTTAGGCCAATATTTGATACGAGAAATGAAGTAAGCCCCATATTGAAGAGTATTTCAGTCACAAATTCGCAAAAAGGAAATGATAGAACTCTGGATTATGAAGAAGATTTGAAAAAAATTATAGAGTTTGAACAAGTTAAGTTTGTTTTTTGTAGCACCTTCCAGTAAGGCAAGTCTCAATCTAATACATTTCGTCTGTAGATCCCACTTGTCAGTCATCTGTCAATTTGCAACGCAACCAAATTCTCTGTTCCATCCCAAAAACTCCATACAATGAAAAATGAGCTTCACCCAAAGACGATTTTCACTGAATAAGCTTTCTGAATGCCCTGCCGCTGTTAACTACTTCAACGATGAATGAGTAATCGTGGCAGTGATTTCAACCTAGACAAGTATCCTGATGTTCTGAATTTAGAATCAAATCTCCGGAGGTTACTCGGCGGCAGTTTACAATTTTCTCAACCAGAGTTTGTATTAACTGAAACTCCACATTCTACGAAGGAAGACGTTGCACCAATATTGGCAAACTTTTCTCCGATTGACTTTGAAGCGGTAATTCATGATCCGATTCTAGAATCCTCAACGGCATCAATAACTACTACTGAAGAACAGAAAACTCCATCTATATCGGAGTCCAAATCTGAAGAACCTGATTCTGTTGAGTACGAGCGAGACCTGGAAGTCATAAAGCGTTTTGAAGGATATCACTTCGTTATAGAAAAGCCTCCCGAGGAGATAGCAAAACAAACTCCTGAGAAGAAATTGCCAAGGAAGATAATCAGAGTTAAAGAGTTTTATTGCCCCTGTCCTCCAAGATGAATATCCATTTTGAGGTGCTGAAAAATGTTGAAGGGTATTATTCGGAGATTTTGAAACAAATGTTTGATTTTTTGTTGGTGTATCAAATGTTATAGTGGTCATTTGTGAAAGTGCGTTTTTCGAAAATCATCTCGTTAGGGCCTTCTTAGAAGGTGTGTTCCACAACTACATACGTCCCACTTTGGTTATATCAAAAACTCAATATAAATACGTAGTTTAATATAAGATTGCAGTGAAAATTGTAGAAATTATATTATGAAGGAAAATGAAATAAACCACGTTGAATGATATCAGCTCAGTCGAATCAAATGAAAGTGTATTTTTTCAAAAAAATTATGCGTGATGCAACAAACAATTCATTTATTGGAAAATTAATATTTCGAAATGAAATTTTGGAATATTTATCTCCCAACTTCCTTCGCCGTAGGTTCTGGTAAATGCCTGCCAAAAAACAACTACTTTCCCGGCTAATACCACGCTGGATATTGAATTATATTCGACACACATTAATTCAAGATACCTCATAGAGGTTTATCCTCGTAGAGGTTTCACGTTCATTCAGCAGCAGGACCATGCTAAAATTATTTGAGTATATCAACTACAATTTTTTTTGTGTATTACCTCCCATCAGTGCAGGAAAGATCCGACACAACAGCAAAGAGCATGGGAACAAAAAGTTTATTGTCTAACAGGAGTAATCCCAATTACAAGACAAATATAATTAAGTTTACAGCTGTGACTAAGTATGAGTATAATGGAATATAACGAATAGCATATAAAATCAGCAGAATAATAGAATAGTATATTATACAAACAGTGATACATTCATATAATCTAATAAATAAAAATGGATGTTTGTTTGTTGGTTGGTTGGTTGGTTTGTTGGTTGGTAAGTGGTAAACTACTACATCGCTCAACCGATCGTGATGAAACTTGACATGTATGAGTAATTTTTCATAGAGAAGGTTTTTAGGCTATCAATTTTTTTGTAACTCGCCACTAGATGACGCTGTAGAACAATTTTTTTAAAGCACTGTTCTATAACGCTACGCACGTCTAGTTTCGTTAATTCTGATTCTGTTTTAATATTGAAACAGCAGCGATACAACAACATAGTACTAATTAGTACTACAACTACCAAATTCTACGCGGGCGAAGCCGCGGGCAACAACTAGTCTAATATATAAAAATGGGTGTTTGTTGGTTGGTTGGTTGGTAAGTGATAAACTTCTACATCGCTCAACCGACCGTGATGGAACATGACATGTATAAGTTATTTTTCATTGAGAAAGTTTTAAGACTATCAGTTTTTCTGTAACTCGCCACTAGATGTCGCTGTAGAAGAATTTTTTGAAAGCACTGTTCTATAACGCTGCGCACGCCTGAGTTCGTTGGTTCTGATTCTGTCAAAACAGCAGCGATACAGCAACATAGTACTAATTAGTACTACAACTACCAAATTCTACGCGGTCGAAGCCGCGGGCAACAACTAGTAATAAAAAAAAAGAAACATATCGCTTCCCGGCAAGAAAAGTGTCACAACACATATTTGGTACAAAATGACATAATCACAGCATTAAATTGCGCGTATTTCATTTGTCCGGCTGAAAAAATGTCGTTATTATGTTGCGCATGGTTACCGCTAGATGGTACTGAGTTCTCTTTTTCACGGAGCCGTTTTGCTCCGAACACCGGCGTGAACAGTGTCACATTTGTGTTAATACAGAGTACACGAGTACTGTGTCGCCAGAAAAGTGTTTTAACGTGTAATGTGACTTTTTATCGGTAAGTTTTACATTCTAATATTAGAATTGTTACTGAAAAGGCGGCACAATCTGAGTTATGACTGTATTGTTGACGAAAAAGCATTATAAATATTGCCAGATCATACAAAAAACAGACATAACCTGTAAAGGGTCTCTTTTTTTACTGTTTCTGATCTATAATCGCGATTTAGGGGAGTTTATAAAAACGCAACACATGTAGTGTCGTTTTGTTGTAAACTTTTATAATAATCACGAGTTATATGTTGTGTTCGGTCTTTTTTTCAGTATGAAATTGAACGCATTTTCAATGCCACGTTGCGTATTTTATTTATTTATTAGTACTAGTCTTTACTAATTATCCATTTTTTTAGGATCAATATGAATAATAATAGTCGGGCAGCATTGATATTACAACTGGCTAGCGAGAAATGTAACGAACAAAATATTTGTAATCAAAATGCTTTGAAAGGCGATGATGTTTTAATGCAAGGTTAGTGTTTCATATTATAGTCAAATATAAATAAATGTAATGTTACGCACCGATGTTGCTAGTGGTTTATGAACTGGACCATGTTCTTGTGGTCTTGGGTTCGATTCCCGGATCAAACGAAAAGTATTTCGAAATTTCGAACTTTGCTCTGGTACGGAATCAGACGGCCGCATGTCAGTTGTCCAGGGATACTTATTTATTTTGTTTTTTAGATCTCGACACATCTACTTCGGAAAAATGTGAAAATAAGCAGTGCGAAACTGAAGATCAAAACATAATGCATACGCAATGTACAATCCAAGTATTATTGAGGATATTGGAGAACCTTTTTCTACAGGTTTGTTAATATTGAACAGATATTGAACCTTTTTCTACAGGTTTGTTAATATTGAACTGATATTTAAATTGTACTCTTATTAAGGTTTGATAAATCAAATTACTCTCATTGTTTTATATGGAAATACAACATCAGATGAAGAAAATGTTTATTTTGAAGACAGTGATGACAGTGTTGAAGACCCACATTTCAAAATTGACTGTGGGTATACCTCAGGCAGTAGCGTTGGTCGGCCGACTATAAGAAAACGTGTTAAGCGGAATTCACCAATATTGTCGGAAGAGGAGCATCAAACGCAACCTTACGTAAATATTGGTGCACCAGAAAATTTTGCTGTGACTCCTTCCACTTCTAAGAACATTTCACAGCGCAAGCGGTCTATATCTTCTGATTTCTCTTCATCGACTTCCTCGTCGAATAGTAGCAGCAACAGCAGTAGAAGCAGTATCAGCAGCAGCAATGCTATTTCTAAGTCTAGGTCACCTGAAACTATATGTAGTTCTAATGATACAGTACTATCCTCTCTGCCATGTAACCAAGAATGAAACGCATAAAAATGCGTTGGAAAGATTACTTAGGCATAAAGCACTTTGTTGAGGTTTGGCTAAATTTGAGAAATCGGCAAATGTCAATTTTTCGAAAAACTGAAAAAAAACTAAATTTGTACTAGAGAGCTAAAAATTGGTATATGGGTGAAAAATGATAAAACAGTCATATTTTCTATTTACCGATTTTCGAAATTTCGAGCAATAACTGCTTTTCTGAACATTTTTTGGAAAAAATGACAAATTGGCGAGTAAATGTTCTTGCTTTTTTTATAACTATTCAAATAAATACAACAAATTAGGTATCATTGGAAAGAGAATTTTGTGCCCTTTCAAATGATATATCACTCGACCCCAGGGTATCATTACTTTACC